CAGTAATAGATCTAACAGAAAGCGGGAGCAAGTCAAAGGAAGCCAACCAATTACTCCTACAGGAAGGCATTCTTACTATCCCTTGATTTGTCAAGTTTTTTTAGGTAGGAAAAGCAGCCTTAGTATAGATATTGGAAAATAAAGGAGAGAAATTGACTGACTACAATAGTAATTTAATAAATAAAGCTGCCTTTAAGAGTCTATCAATTATTTACTCTTTCATCAACTATGTATTGAGTTTGACAATGGAAGTTACAATAATGAAAGATCCATTTTCTCTGCTTTCGAAATATTGAATCTACTACTTACTTCCCCTAAATCCTCACTCAGTAAGAGAGTAGTTTTCTTTTTTCTTTTTTTCTTTTTGGCTGCATACCCTATTATTATTCCTACTGAACCAGTAATAACACAATATACGAAGTACATTCTCTTGGGCGTAAGGCCAGTATATAGGTGGGAATCCCGTAAGCATCAAAAGAAAAACAATCTAGGGTTTCTGGATGTGCTCTAAAGTGGCACCTTCTAAGCTGCAGTATGTGTTCAACAGTGTTTTTCCAACAAAAAAGAGGATGTGCTCACCTGAGAAGCATCCTGAAGGGAAACACCATTGCACTGGCCAGGGATCAGGAAACCTAGATCTTCTTCTAATACAGTCTGTGACTGTGTGCTGCTTTCTTTTATTAAGGAAAAACTGTTGAAAGTTCTATTTATACACATTTTAAGTAATGCTTTTTTCTTTTTCTGTGACCTCCTTTTCTACTTATTTTACAATTAATATATTCAAAAGTATGTTATGTAAAAGGCATTGAGTAAGTTAATGAACATCAGTAAGATATAGAATCCTATCAAGATGGATTAATATAAATTGTACTTAACTTTCTACCCTAAAAAACTAAAAGTTAGAAAAATATGTGACATAACAGTTTGTAAACATTAGACAAGAGACAGAATAAGACTGTTATTCTTGAGAAAAGAGATAGAAATGATTTCCACATGTTATGACTTAGAAAGTATTTGTAGAGTACAAACCAAAGAAATGTGGACCCCCGTAACAGATCCTGACAATCCTAATTTTAGCTCTAAAGAAAAACTGAAGGTGGAAATGGGAGTTAAGAGAGTGAAAGAGAAAAAACAGCTCATGGTTAACTTCAGCTGGAATTATTCCAACACTTATGTCTCAGTGTTATCCAGTTGAACATAAGTAATTCCATAGGACTTTAGTCCTGGACACTGTGTGACCATGATGGAGTGAGACAAAATATGTTAAAATCTTTTAAATATAAGAAATTTTTATACTTCTTATATTTAAAAATATAACAACACTGAGATAATACTAGATAATACTGAGACATAACTGTTGGAATAATACAAGCTGTATATGTGTATATACATGTGTATGTATATATATGTATGTGGATGGATGGATGGATAGATAGATAGATAGATAGATAGATAGATAGATAGATATGGACAGAGACAGAAAAAGAGAGAGAGAGATAGGCAGCAGAGGACACAAAAATATATCAAGTAGTCTTACTGAATTAAGGATTAGATTAGACAAAGATTGCAGAGAAGACTAGATTAGAGTATTAAGGAGACTAGATTAGATAAAGATTAGAGTATAAAGAAGACAAAGGGGCCATTTCAAGACAGATAACTAGAGAGAAGGGATTAGCACCCACAGAGGGAGGTCTAATAGCTGCAAAGGGATCTCCTCAAATCTTTGGAAGAGTGCTAATTTGTACATTTGTTAGAATAAACTTCTTGTAGAAGATGAACAACTACTGGGGGAAAAAAGGCACATACATTGTAGATGTAGTAAGGAGTCTAGATTCCTAATTTCTAGGGCTAGATTGTCTGAGTCACATCTTAGTGCCTTCTAAGACTGTTTAGACAGTCTGTTGGGCAGGCTTGTGAGGAAGAGAGCAAGGCTCACAGAGTTAACAGCCTTCCTTCCAGTGGAGGTTTCATAGGAACTGGATTCTGAGGAGGCTCTGCTGAATATATGGAAGCATCTTTACCGCCAGATGGTAACTCACATTTGTGTATGTGAAAGCACATTCACATCGTTCTGTCTGATCTTCACCATCGTGGAGTTAGCACCAATGTCACAGTGCTGACTTAACCCAAAGATATTAAATGTCTAGCTGAATGGTACACAGCTAAGTTGCCTGATGGCAGAATTGAAATTAAATAGCAAGTTTAATTTTTATAATCCACTGACTTTTGTGTATGAGTATGTAGAGGATGATCTATGAATTGGGTGAGGCTTTTTTTTTTCTTCTGAGAATTAAATTGTACCTTTAAAAATAGTTTTAATGGCTCTCTATGCAAGTAATGAAAATTTAAGGAGAATCAAAGGGCTGGGCTGAGAGCCAAGAGCCAGTTGAAGGTTCCAGTACTCTGGATCTCAAACATATTACCTAGCAGCAGGTTAAACCATCTCACTTTTTCTTGTAGCCAACTGTCAGTCACACATTGTGGACTTGTCTCATGAAATAATAGCATTTTAAAATCAGTGGTATTTTAATTCAAACTTCTTTTTTTTCCTCAGATAAGGAAATCCCAGAGTGATTTAAGTGATTTTCTCTACGTTTAAACAACTACATAGTGGCAGAGTAGCAATTTATTAATGATTACATTTTAGTCCCTGGCAAGCTTTAATCCCCAATTGTCTTATACAGTTCATTCAATTTAATTCCTTCTATGGCTCGCTGTTACCTTACACACTTCATTCAAATTAATTCCTTATCTGACCCAATTATTATTAGCTCAGGAAGGACAAATCATCTTAAGTTTTAGCCTGATTTGAATAGAATCAATGCATTGATGGACACATGTCTTTTTCTCCCTCAAAACCTGTCTCAGAATAGGGAAATGTGCACTGACCAACAATCTGTGTTTATTGGAATTTGTTCAATTGCATATTTATTTTGTTTCATATATCTCATATCTAAATAGTCGTTGAATTTGATTCAAGATGCAGAAATTTGCGTAAATGAGCCTAGATTCAAGATAAGAAAAATTTCTCTAAGCAATTCAAGCAACTTTCCAAAAATCAAAGGAACTTGCTAGAATACCTATGATTCAGGCTATGAACCTGAGACATCCCAATTGCCACAGAGATATCTGCATCCTATCTATGGCTCTTCAATCTTCTTTCTTATGAAGGCATTTTCTGTTCTTAGAGTTCTTTGACTAGGAACACAATTTAAAATATTTGACAACTGGTATGGCCCTGGCACTAATTAGTTAAAACGGGTGCTGGCCACAGTGAAGGAGAAGATCTATATACAAGCTTTCTAGAACATTTTAGCTACTACCTGGTCAATATTTGTTAGGTCAACAAGCTTTATATCTCCCTGAGATTCAAAGAAGGGAGATGGAGAGGATATTTAGTCATATTGAGTCGTGAATATACAGCTGAATATCAGCACTGCATCTCTCTCTGCTTTGACTTTCAACAAATATGAGTTTTGTAGCGGTAAAGTGTATTGATGAGATGATATGAAATTTAGTTCTTGGGGTATAACATACTTGTACAGTTTCCTATGAAAGTGGGATTTGAGAATCTGGATCTTTGAAATTGTCACATTGAAGTCTACCTAATTTTTTTTCTTGACATGTCCACCAGTAAGTTCCCTTTTTTTCCTCACATTATATTTTCACACTTATAAAATAATGGGCTTGGTCTAGACTAGGGAATCCCAAACTGTCTATGAAATAGGAATTCCCAGGAAGTTCTGAAAACTATTCACAGCAGGGTCACATTCCAGACATACTCAG